TGTCACTGAATATATAGGGGCGATATTACCTTAATGACATCATACTGAGCAAAGAGCAATAAAAGGTGAAACAGAGCAGTCTGAAACACACAGGGATTACTCGTACATACACTGACCTCATTATCTGAAACTCTTGATATCTTTAACATGAAATATCAAACTAAGGACAATTAAAACAGCTCCAATTTAACATGAAATATATTGGAAATTAGAGGCTGGATAGCTTTTAATATAGGCAAAAATGCGGGGCTATTTTACTGACACAGAATTTGTATAGAATATGTATAGTCTGTCAGTGAGAACATACCTTACAGTGATCAGTGTGCTTCGATCTTCTCAGTGCATCACAATAAACCACGAAGAGTAACAAGTCTTAACCTCAGCAGAAGTAAAATAGTTATGAGAGTCCATGTGACTTTTGTCCCAGTCTTGTGATATATGATAATTACCCAGCTACCTGAAACAGAGGTCTCCAACCGCCCGTGCAGTTAGACAAGTAGTGTCAAACAGACAGTATATCTGTATGTCATCAGAGCTCTCTTTAATAAGAGCAGAAATGACATGTTTATAACATTATCTAATCAAAATGTAAAACTACAGGGTTTACAGTGTGTCATTTAGTACAGCGCAAGTGCTTTTGAGCCTTCGGAGAACAAGAACAAAACATCCACTAAGAAACGACTACTTTACACTAATGTACCTCGTCATTGCATTGCAACTTTTATATTCATATATTCAAAATAATTATTTTGTTACGAAATACTGTGGAAAAAGAAGCAACAACCTAGAACGAAATAACTAAGTGAAAATGCTGTCCATCTACCTGTTATTACGATAACAACCCTTTAGTTACAGTTGTGGGGCGTGTGTCTTAGCCTGCATTCAACATCTCTGTCCGGCAGGATATAAGCATGACAGATACTTATGATGGCTAGCAACGGCGCTATGCTGGCTAGCATTCGAAACTAACAGCAGAAATATTATGAAGTAATAATAATGACATTCGTCGGTCAATATAAAGAGTTACAGCGATTAATCGGGGCGGCACTTGTATTAGGGAATCTTAACACTGTTAAAAAAGTCCAATTTAGTAGAAAATCTTAAATCGAAACTCATTGTGCATGCTAACATCTTGGCCGACTAGCTAGCTACTGCTAAGCTGCATTCACGTTGCTCGATAAAGGTGGTAAAAAACCGTTCTCTGCTTTAGAGGCGTTCATGTGCGAAAGCTACTCACAAATAGTATATCACTCACAATCAAATTTGTCACTATTTTGTTTCTAAGTTTGACATATAAAACCAAACAGACATATAAACAGTTTTCAGAGACGTGTGAATGTATATTCTGAGGTAGTGAGGTAGCCTTAGGGCAGCTTTTGTGTTAGACAGTGACATTATCAGTAACTGCTGATCCAGTGTCTGAAACAAGTTGTTTAAGATCCCGTTTCCTCCCCCTTTCCCCCTTTAACACTCCCTTTTCAGTGTGAGATTGATGAATACACGCTTTATATTTTGTGTAATCCCCAGTATCCTATTTTATAAATCATCTATTTGTAGTGGGTGTCTGTGAAGAACAAGTATGTCATAAAAAACAAAACAAAAACAGTTGTTTATGAGTTCAGAAACACATACAAACAACAACAACAAACAAAAAAAGTGTAAAGTTGAACTTAGGTTTTACCATTTCTTTGGTTGAATATTTAAAAATGCCGATGACAACACCCCAATAGACGTCAAACAAACTTTCTTAAAGGCTTAACATGTCTCAGCTTGGCATGCAGGTGTGTCACCTGCTACTCAAGCCTCTTGGTAGTCAAAAGATCGTTGCACTTACTGTAGGAATGTCGTTTGGTGCCTCAACCAGTTCAACCACGTCTGACTCTGTGACTTCAATAAACGTGTTAAACTTTCACTCTTGTGCACTTGAGTCCTCTATTCCTGGAAGCATGTACAAGAAATTTTGAGTTTAAAAGTAAACTCTTGAGTTGATTAACTCTGAGATCAGCAACTCTGAGACCCCGTTTCCAGTGGATGGAGGAATTGTATGTTTGTGTCCGTGCTGACCATGATATTTAACTCACAAAACAGGAGAGAAAAAATAGGAGAGTCGTTTTAATCGGCTTGTTATTTTGTTACAGGCAATATAAAATGTTTTGTAATGTGAATTTCCATTAGATGCACTAATTTTGCATTTAGTTTTTAAATCTAATTATTGAGCTGTGCCCCTGACAGGGCCAAGTGTAGGTCACAACAACTGAAGATAAACATCTGGAGAAACAGATCAGACGCAGACAGTTGTGAGATTAGTTGCCCAGATAGCAACAGACTCTGGACAAATTCAGTTTCAGTTCAATTTATATAGCAGCAAACAGCAACAATAGTTCCCTCAAGGCAACTTTTACTGCAAGTTTAACACTGTTCAATAATAGACAATAACAGACTCCAACAATCAAACAGCACCTCATGAGCCTTGGCAGTGGTGGGTAGGAAAAACTCCCCTTTAACAGAAAAAAGCCTCTGGGACACTCAGGGAGGGGCAGCCATAATATAATTAGGATAAAAAATAGGATAAAAGACAGAGTGGAAGAGAGCCAGAGATGAATAATAACTAATGATTAAACACAGACTGCTCTATAAACACACAGTGCTTCTTGATGTCCCCAGCAGGGGGAGCTTCAGTGTCACCAGATCCAGCCCTAAATATATGCTTTAGCAAAAAGGAAAGTTTTAAGCCTTTTTTTGAAGATGAGAGGGTGCCTGTCTCCTGAACCAAAAGTGGGACCTGGTTCCACGGAAGAGGGATCTGACTTCCCTCATTTTTTAATTAAATAAAATCTGTTTGTGCCCTAATTTGTGACCCTTTCGTTGTTTGGACAATTATTCAGTAAAATACTGAAATCATAAAGGGATGGCACAGCTGATCTTCTGCTCAGTCCTACAATGATCTCTGGCTCAATTTTACGCAACTCAAGAATGCTGAAGTATTTCCACAACCGAATGGCAATTTTTTGGGGGGGAAAAAACAAATGAAAAATATATGAATTGCTTATAATTGTATTATTATACAATAAATTAAAAGAAAAGCTGCTCTAACTTTAACTAAGTTTGTGTACTGTTGGCTAATACAAAGTCTTAACAGTGGAAAACTTCTTTTACAATGCGGCACCAAGAAATCGCTAATGTTTAAAAATGTTAAATTGAAACAAATCAAACACTTTAAGCCTTTTACACTTCTGACAACACTCACTGCATGTTTGGGAAATGGAAACCACATCAGTGTCACCCTGAAACGCAAGCAGAATGTGTCATCAGGGACATTACACTGTAAAAACTGGTGTGACATAGAATGAGGCGCTAATTGGACAACTGTTCTTTGCAAAATAGCAAAAGGACTGTGTACTGCAGGACAAAGCACAGTAGTTTTCCTCTGACTTTAAGTGGAGCAGAGGAAAGATTTTGCAAGTGTGAGTAAACAGAAATACAAAAACTTAAGTCATTAAATAGTTACATATTTACAAAGATTGCAATCTGTTACATTTGAAACAAGAAAAGAAAAGCGGTGGAAACTATGGGGGGGAAAGAGGCATTCCATAATCGTTACTTATGATTCGTTTAAGTAAATTCTTTCCCTACGCACCCACGTGAAAGAGCAAAGAGTTCACGTTCTGACAAAGAAAGAATTTTACAGATATAGATTTCTTTCTAAACTCCACCCTGCACTTAGTTATTAGAAAAAGAATTTGCAGTAGTGATTCAGACAACTACAAACAATTATGGAACAATCTTGCGTTCAGTTACAGCCAGCTTTTACAGCATGACCTTTCAAAGGCTGTCTGTTCAGAACCACACACAAAAAACCCTGTCTAAACCATTTATTGGTTTATGAGCCAAAATGACTTCATAATGATTGCTTAGTTAAGGTTTGCAGCTTGCTACTGAAGGTTAAATAGCAAGCTAAAGAAGCAGATCATTTTGGGTCTGCTAATTCTTTCTTGACAGTACCTTCTTTTCTGTGAGGCTCAGCAATCCCACTGCTGTGAAAGCAAACATGATAATCAGTATGACACCATTAACCGTCACTGGTTTTATCTTCTCATACATTTTGTTTTACTCTGTGTCTTTATGGTCACTTCACAGCCCGTCATGGCAGAAGACTGAGTCCGGTTCTGCAAGATGTATTTTCATGCTTAAATAGTTCTTCCTTCCCACTCTCTCCAAGGGCTTTTTCATAAGGGATAGTCTGATTGTTGCTGTTTTCTGTCTTATACTGAATGATCTTTACCTTAAAGTGCCTTGTTACATCCCCCAGGAGGATGTCTCTTCTCCCTACTAACCCTTTGTTTTGTCCAGGCTCCACCTCCTCTGTCCTGATTGGATGCTGCGCAGAGTCCAGCTAATTGGTAATCAGCAGAGCACTATTTAAGGTCTGTGGAGCTGTGCTTCTGTGCCTTCTGGCTATTTTGGTTGCCATGCCTTTGGATCTTGTATGAGCATTGTTGTTTTCATGTTCAGACAAGCCGTCTGAACATGAAAACAACAATGCTCATACAAGGGGAGAGCTGCCTTTTGTTTTGACAACCTGTTTTCTCCTGTTTATGTGTTGTTAGGTAGGTTATGGTTATAGGTTGTATATGTTGTTTCTTTGGAGTTAGGTAAGTTTCTTTTATTTCTACATCAGGGATGTTTTGTTTGTTATGTTGGCCTTGGCTCTCCCTGACGTTATACCTCAGTCTGACCCCAAATCCCATCACCAGTATTAAATAAACCTTCTAAAATTACCATCTTGGCTCCTCCTTCTCTATCCACCTTTATGTTCGTCCCTTCAACCCTCTAGACTAGCCAGGGGACGTAACAGCCTTCAGATGACTGGTGATGTAACATTGCATTGAACTCAATTATGATTTACACCACGTTATCATTGATGTCCCATACACTGCTAGCTTGTACATTCTTTCTAACAATATTGTACATGTAGTAACATTTAACAAACATGACTTAGGCAAGGTTTTAGGGCTTTAATCTGGCACAGTGACCACTTTAACAGACAAGATGTACGATCTGAGCTACAGAGGGTAGCATAACTCCTTGTGACACTTCAGAGCATTTGACCAGAAAAACACACAGCACAGGAAAACTTGCATACTTGTGCAGACCTGTGTGCGGATGCAAAAGTATTATATGTAAAGTGGCATTGCACCCAAATGTAAAAACTGTTTCATATTGAATAAAGGCATAAATCTACTTAAGTAATGGAACAAATGTTTGAGCATTAGAATATACTTTAATTATGCAGAATATATGCACTATATTACTAGATTATAATTTTTGAATGTTTATATCACATGCTTTTAATTACTTGTGCATCAGGGGGTAGCTTTATCTGTAACAATATAGCTTTTTATCACATTTTATGCTTTAAAATCTGCAGAATAAGCAACTTAAGAGTTAATATAAATGGTATTGAGTTAAAAGTACATCATTTGAAAGTTTGGAAGCAGAAAACAAAATGGCATAGAATAAACAAATACATGTTACATGTTACTGGTCCTATTGCCACTCTCGTTCAGTGACATTGGATATTTTAAGTTTCACAGTTCTCTAGCCTAGTGGAAAATTATTTCGCGGACTCTTTCAACATCATCACTGACATCGACCCTGACAACCCCCTCACTCCACCAGGGTTTCACTTAAACAGAGCTGATTTTGGTTTTGCACCAATCAGAATGCTGTTACCAGTTTTATGTTGATAACTACGAAATTACGTCATGAATACATATCAACAAACTATTTAATGCTCTACTTTGTTTCTCTAATTCTATGATGAAATGACTTTCATTTAGTCTTTTAATCCCAAACAAATTTATATTTGACATCTTTCATTTTGTCTTTGTAAACAGCATCAAAGCATTCTGCTTCTGCCTCTGTTAGCTGATTCTTCCAGTCTCCAGCAATTCCTGAAACACAACACACAGAGAAGAATTAAAGTTAAATTGAAGGAACTGTTGTGTCTATTATTTTAGGTTGTAAATGTAAAATTCTGTTGCAGTTTTTCTCAGTTCCTTACGTACTATTACCAGGCTTATAAGATAAAAATCCAAACCCTATCTCAGGTGATCATTTAGAAAGTTCTTGGTTCATTTCTAAAACCTAGGTATCACATCCAGGTGCAAACACAGAGTCAAAACTTTTTCTGCACCAATTAGAACCTTTAAAAGTCTGATAAAAGAGCGCTGGGTCGGTGATGCAAAGGAGGAACACAAGGACAAAAAAAATTACCAATAATCCAAGGTACTCCAACATTTTCCTGCCTGCATACTTTCATTTTAAAACCTACATCCACACTCACCTCCTCCCAGAGTCCTGTTTAGACATGCCAGTCGAAGTTATAGGGGGGTGGATAAGAGATATAACTCATGCTATTTCACCATACAGTACAGCTTCAAAACCAACATACTTCGGGGGGGTTTGACGGGGGGAGAGGGGTTGGGTGCGGTAACCATTCTCAGTAGTATTACAAAAACACACCTTTCCTGAGGAATTCAGACTTGCTCTGGTCCATGATTTCTTTAGGAACAGCCGAGTAGTTCGACATGCTGTTTTTCTTCATGTTCTTGAACAAGCATCGGTCTGCTATCTTCTCTATTACTTCAGTATCCAGAGATTTCTCCATGAACTGAGCGATTCTGGCCACAGAGTCCTTCAGGTCCTGCACCGTGCAGACAAACACCGTTCAGCTCATGTTCTTACCACGAATCTCAGTGTTTGACTCTTTTTTCGTGTTTAAATTATTTGGAAAGCATTTGCAGTTGTTCTCACCTTTAAAAGTTCTTCATAGGAGATGTACATGATGGACTCCTTATCTTTAGCATTGAGCCAACCCTTCACATGGTCAAACCAGGAACCAAATATAACTGAAAGAAAAAGAAAAGATTCCCTTTGAGTTATTATGAATACAATAGCAAACGTCTCTGCATTAATGGTTCAACTTCATCAATCCTTATTCCTCTTGTTACCAGTTGTAAAATACAACTGAATAAAAGGCTAAATGTCACCTGCTGTTCTAATACAGACGTAAAAAAAAAGAACAACCTTCTCCATCTAGGAACTTCTGGAGGAACTCGCTCTGTGGGCCTGGTTTCACCAGGAACGAAGTTGACCCGAAATAGTGAAAAGCAGACGTAAACACATCTTTGGGGTTCCTCATGACATAGATGACCTGGAGTAATGACAAATCATTACTTCACTTTAAATATTCAACATTTAAGTTTGTAGCTTTATGACCAAATAAAACTACAATGTATGTATTACACAGACAAAGCACTTTGAGTTCATAACCTGTCCTTCACATGCAATCACAGACCTTCTCACTGGTGATTTTTTTTGTATGGTTGCTTACTTTGCCATGCCAGACACTTGGACACAGGCACAGCAGAATACAAACCCTGTATTTCTTATAGGAACTACTAAGTAATAGCCTGAGGTCTCATAAGAAGCTGTCAGTGGTGAGTAATGACAAATCCTCTGTTCTTGTTGTTGTGTCTTTTAAATTGTGTTGTAATGTTCTTTCAGTTACTTCATTTTCTTTCCACATCAGTTTTCTGTGCGGAGGAAACCTGACAAAGACTTTCACATTTTTCTCCGACAAGTTGTATACTCAGTGTTTTATCAGGCTAATATTAGGGGCTGTTGGCTACATGTCTTTTACAAGTACATGTTGGCTGCCTGTGCTACATTCATGTTTTAAACCACTCAATTTAGATTATGCCTGGATGAATCCCAGCATATCTATGCCAATTATTTATTATTAAGGAGGAGAAGCTGCTACTCTATAGCAGGAATTAAAGAGACCCATAAAACATCCCATTTCACATTTGAATTAACAGCTTTAATGACCCACGAACCAAACTATGTGGCAGACCTACCTTTGGTTTAACTTCAAAGAAGGATGGCGGCATCATGCTGTAGTGGAAGTGAGTTGTAAACATGCGTGGAGACGGCCTCTTTTCAAGGTTGAGGGTGAGGGCTCGATTCTCCTCCAGCCATGGAACACGGTCCCAGTTGTGGAGAGTCTCAACGGAGGCCGGATCCCCTCCGCTGATGATGAGAGGGAGCATCTCCTGCATCCATGTCGTACCTACAAAAAACAAACAATCTCATGTTTTGATTTAGCTTTTATTTGGGCCTCCCAATATTAGAGCTCAGTGCTTCGACTGAATTGAATTATCTTGATTAACATGTAGAGTGCAGAGGGTTTTTGCAACACGCTTACACATCATACTGGGCTGAGGGTGTCCGAACAGAATTTCCCAAACTTAAATAATAAATAGAATCAGTAGCATAATATTAATAATCAAGGCTAGTCAGGGAGGCGTCTTCTGTTATTGCAGGAAGAGGAGCAGATACGAGGTGAGGTCAGACGAGGACGGAAAGAGGAGAAGATCCGGCAGGGAGACAGCAGGACTGAAGAAGATAGTCATAATAATACATTTTATTGTTGTGGTATAAACTGTATGGTGCGACTTGAGGCAGGCAATGGCTGAGCGGGCTCATGTGAGCCTCCAGCTGAAACAGGAGGCTGCAGGGGCTCGGCTGAGGCGAAACAGGGCCAGCAGGTGCAGAAACCTCTGGCTGAAGCAGAGCTATCTGGAGCTGTGCAGGGCACACAGCTGGCTCAGGGTGCAGCAGCTGGGGCTGCGCAGCCCATGCAATCTGATCGGGATGGCTGGCTGGATGAACTCGCCTAGCTCCCAGCTGACGGAGGAGGAGAGGAAGGCTGCACTGCCTCCAGGAGTGCAGAGCCAGCTGAGGTCACAGGCTCAGCCTCTGGGGGGAGTTTCAGTTTCTGAGGAGCCCAGTTTCACAGTCACGCAGTCTCAGAATAAACAATCTTTGGAATTATTATTCCAGACCAGGGAGGAGTGGGAGTAACACAGTTCTTTAAGTCCTTAGAGCAGATGATTCTGTTTCTGAAAACACAGGCTTTAAATTTCCAGGCTCAGGAGAAACGTAATCAAAGGTCGGAGAAAGTCCACTACAAAGAGGAAGCCGGAAACCAGGCTTTGTAGCCGGCTAGCTACAATCTTTATGACCACGACGGTATTCCTTATGAGTGAGAGGACCCAAACGCAAGCATTGGAGATGGAACAGAACTTGAACTGAAAGTGAGTCTTTGTTATGGCGGAGCAGAAGTCAAACAAAGCCAAATGTGACAATGACTAAATTAGCGAAACCTAAACTGGGAGAAACCTTAAAAACAAGTACAAAGAAACTAAAGACCTGAGCACCTGAGACATGGAAACCTGGAGACTGGGAAACGCGAGACATAGAAACATAAGGGGAGATACGCAGATAATCCGGCAGCAAACAGAGGAAGACAAATGGCTTAAATACACAAAGGGATAATGAGGGAATGAGACACGGGAGGACAGCACAGCTGGGAGTACTCAAACATAAGGAGACAGGGAGGAAGCAAACCTAAACACACTAAGCAAGCACTACACAAGGACCTATCAAAATAATCCAGGAAACATGAGACACAGTCTAAGGCTACGTTCACACTGCAGGTCTTAATGCTCAATTCCGATTTTTGGATCAAATCCGATTTTTTTGTCTGCTCGTTCACACTACAAATAAAATGCGACAGCAAACGCGCTCTAGTGTGAACGCTCAAAGCGGCCCGCATGCGCAAAAGAAGACGTCACACACAACGCGCTTTGTTCAGACCCAGAGCAAACAGTATTGTTTGACTGATGGCCCTTAATATAAAGACTTCGGACTTCACGTTTCCCAATTTTGTTATTTCCATAATAATGTAAATAACCTAATAATGATCCTTATTGCTGTTTTAGAGGAGCGGTGCTTCAAAGGATAGCTGCAGATTTCTGTCAGAATCTGCAGATTATACAGAACAAATAAAATGTTCACGTTTCTCCAACGTTGTCTT